TTCACCATACATGCCTGCCTTGTTCTCAGTCCAGCATGAACTGCCTACCTCCACTCCGGACCCTCCATAGTCACCAAACCTGCCTGAGTCTCCGAACAATAAACCATTTAAAAATCTTCAGTCATTGCCTGCGCCTGGGTCCTGTTTAAAACATAATCCTAACAGCTTATATCTTTTTGACACTATATGCGTTAGTAAATATGCGTCTCACACCAGAGATGATGATTTTTAAAACAGCGGAAATACTATTAAAGACGGTTTTGATCTGTTTCTGAATCTGTTGGCTTTGAGGAGAGTAAATCCATCTTAATCTTATTTGTCATTAAAATGCATGTCACATAGCATTGCGCCCCAAAAAGGGATAAACATTTTCATACCCCTCTGGGTGTCATTTTTCTACCACTGCTGCTTGGAACCCATAAATACCTGTGAGTACTGCAGTCACTTGTCCAGAGAATAAATGCTGATAGCAACCTTTCCGACTGAAGACAAAAGCCAGATGTAAGAGTGTGTTTTTAAGCCTTGTGTCTTGCTTATGTGACTTAGTCCAAGGTGTACTGCCCCATTAATGATCATGTCTTTTAAAAAAATAGCTTCAAGTGTTTTCCACAATACCAAGGGTCGCTTCAGTCACTGCTCATTCTGTTTCCTTGTTTACTTTCATTTGAGCCTTGAATCAAGGGGTCCGATGATGGTCACCTCTTAGGAGACAGTTTTTCGATCTTGCAGGTGTCGAGCGCTCACTGCCTGACTGCTCTCGTCAGAGAGAGGACGGATTACTGATAGCTCGGTATACAACTCCTCACATGGGAGAAACTGTGATGTGCTGAAGGCTACGGACTGACATATCATCACTCCAGAGAAGGGAGAACATCCTCTTATCAACTAAAGGCATAAATCATTTTGATGTATGCATATATGGCCACAGCATCAAAACATTCTAAATCTGCAGGCGAGGAGTGTTTTTCCACTTCATGGTGTAGTTTGAAAAGTCATTATTCATCTAGGTTTAGGGCTTCCTCTAAAAACACTTTAATTAAACTTCATCATTATTTTTATAACTATATGAGAAGGTTGTTTGGCCGGTTAAAAAATGCGATGCAAAATACATTGTTTGGCGTCATCTAAATAGTTGCCAAATCCTTTTCTATTCATCATCGAGCCAACTAATGGACTCACTGCATCTCTAACTCTGCTGTGGGTTTAACGTATTGCAGTGTGGTGAGTCAAGGAACTCAAAGCTCATCTAAAAGCAAGTTTTCAATCAGAATAAACTTTTAAATAAAGACACAATTTCAATTACAAGGTCTAAAAAGTGCTGCCTGTGTGTGTGTGTGTGTGTGTGTGTGTGTGTGTGTGTGTGTGTGTGTGTGTGTGTGTGTGTGTGTGTGTGTGTTAGCTTCCCTAGAGCAAGTTGTACTGCTCTGCATGAATGAGGTGTGTGTTGTTGAATGACTGGTAGTATGTAAAGAGCTTTGAGGGGTGGAAGAGAACTGATAGAACGCTATATGAGTACAAACCATTTACCATAAAGATTTGATCCTTATTTTAAACATTAGCCTATTTTTCTGCCTGTAATGTAAAATACTGTATGCTAAATGTCTTGCAATGTTTGCCATACCTTAACAGTTTGACACTATTTAAGTCAGACGCTATTTTTGAAACTAAAAACCCTTTACAGTCTGTCATGTGACCGAACATGATAATGGACATTACATTACATGACACTTGTTAGACGCTTTTACCCAAAGCGGCTTTCATACACTCAATACTGTTAATCGAAATTTGGGGTGAGGTGTCAAGAGGCTATTTTGCATCTGTAGACCCAGAACAGGTGTTTCCAAATCACCCTTAAAATAAATGTTTTAATATATAACAACATTTAAAGTTAGATAAAATCATTGAAAACAATCAACAATTGGCTTACAATTCTTGAAATGCCAATTCAAACTATTAATGTTTATACATTTAAAAAAAAAAAACATACATAATACATAGCAACAGGATACTGACAGGATACAGAGGACACTATTGTTTTTGTGCTAACCCTTTTTGTATGAATTAATTCACCGACTTGAAGGTCCTGAACTTCCCTTATTATCTCTTTTGCACTATTTGTCCCATTCCCTTTTCTTTTTTTATCTTAGATATATTGTATGTTGCGTTGTTGGAAACTTAAAAGCTTTCATTGCCAACACCTACGCTGTCGCTATTGTGCATATGATCAAATAAAGTATTTGAATCCTTTGAAAATGTGAAATCAAACAGTGCACCCAAGTGGCCGAGAGCCTCACAACACAAAGTCTGTCCAAGCTTCCATTGTTCTGAGCACTTTAAGGATGTTTTAAAAAGTTGTTAAAGTTGAGATTTTGGAAACAGTTAGATAAGAATAAGTCAAACCATGTGATGTAGTTGAAAGCTCTGCAACTAGAAATGTACTAGAAGTTAACAGCAACCCAAAAACAATACTGTATTCAATTTGACATGAACATATTTGGACATGAATAACGTTAACTTCATTATATATATAAAATAATAATTTATATGACATCATTTTTGTTCAATTTCTTGTTTTAAATATAATGTATGTTGCAAGAGCCTGGGACTTTATTGCCAAACTATGATGTAGGTGGAAATACTCAGATGTTGTACTTGAGTAAAAGTAGAAGTACTCAGATCTTGTACTTGAGTAAAAGTAGAAGTACTCAGATCTTGTACTTGAGTAAAAGTAGAGGTACTCAGACCTTGTACTTTAGTCAAAGTAGAGGTACTCAAACCTTGTACTTTAGTCAAAGTAGAAGTACTCAGATATAAGCAAAATGAAGCTCCTGTTTTAAGGAATGAGCTTCCAACAAAATAAGTGAAACCCTATGGAGAGCTGTGAGCTGTTTTGTTTCTCAAAGCATTTTCAAGTAACAAGCATAATTGACCTACATTTGATTGAGTTTGCTGACTTGTAACTGAACTTATGAGGCGGTATACCTCCAGTGAGTGGCCAGCCCTTCGTATATTTGTCTGTATGTGGTCCTCGGTGAAAAAAGCGTGTACACCTCTGTAGCTTATGTGCATATGACAATAATCCTTTGAATTGAATTGATTCCTCTCCAGCTCCAGCCTGCTGCTGTCTCTTTAAAGATGACGCAGTGCTGGGTGTTGCGCAGCGGCAGAGAGAGAGGCAGGTCGGTGCACTCACACCGGGGACAGGCTGCTTCTCTTCGGCCTCAACATGGAGTTTCTACTGGGGAATCCCTTCAGCACGCCGGTGGGTCAGCGGATAGGTGAGTTATTTTAAATACCGCCATAATTCATTCACATGTTAGGCTTAAAAAACACCCAAATCCTGCAGGCTTTGTCACCTTCACCGGATGCATCCCGCTGAGGACACGTAGACTTCTTCTCCTCTTATAATTAGTCATTAACATGCTTTAAATACACCAGATAAAACGTGTTTTTATGAATTTAAGGTGCATTTATTACCCAAGTAGTGTAGCAACGGGTTTCTGTTCGATTGTCGCGACCGCTAACCAATGATGTGTAAGGGGCGGGGCTTAGGTGAGGTGAGGCGTGATTTGATTGGTTGTTATTCTGTCTGTTTAAAGTGGGCCATATCCTCCTGACCTAAATTAGATGCACGTCCAACTGTAGCTTAATGACTGCATGTGTGTGATAAGAGATTATGGAAATTGAGAGTTAGTCATTTGAATGAATAGATGAGCAGATTTAATCATGGTAGAGATCCTGTTATTACTCGTAATCTGTACATTTCTACATAAATATAACACAATATCTACTCATCAGGAAACGCACTGTAGGCCTACTGTAGCAATTACAAGTGTAATGCTGAGGATAAATTATTACTGTGTTGTGATAAATATCTACCAAGCGTTTCCCTATCACAAATATATTGAATCTACAAAATAGGTCAAACTGTTTTGCACATGTTTCATTATATAGGCTATATAAGGAAAACAAACAGCAGTCATACACTTATTAAACACAATATATATTTGTGTCATTTTTCTAATTACTTACTTTTATTATTGATAAAAAAAAGTGGGCTTTTTTCATGGGATCTAAATATTTAAACGTACGACCAATTAGAACCAATATTGTGGCACATTGAGCATACATAGGTAAATAATAATAAAGGAAGTGGTTTGATTTATTTATGATTAAACTGTAATTACTACACTATTCATTTTAGTACAGTTTAATATTGTAAACATTGTATTTTCCTTTATTTTTCACAGAGAGTGCGACCAGCTCCAGCCTGCCGTCAGACGACTGGACCCTCAACATGGAGATCTGCGATGCCATCAACAGCGCAGAGGAAGGGTGTGTGTGTGTGTGTGTGTGTGTGTGTGTGTGTGTGTGTGTGTGTGTGTGTGTGTGTGTGTGTGTGTGTGTGTGTGTGTTTGAGAGAGTGTGTGTGTGTGTGTGTGTGTGTGTGTGTGTGTGTGTGTGTGTGTGTGTGTGTGTTCATTCGAGTGTTGGAGAGAGAGGTGTGTGTGTGTGTGTGTTTGTTCATCTCAGTGTGTGTGTGTGTGTGTGCGTGNCAGCTTGTGTTTCGTGAAATCAAACCTCGCCTCAGACACTTTGCAGAGGCTTTTTAAACAGCTTTGTTTGTTCACAGTTTCAAAATTAATTAAAAAAGGTACGGACGTAAGTTTACTGGGTCCGGTCTCAGTCCGTTACAGGTCCCCCATTATACTGTCTTTCATCAATATATTATAGGCCTCAGGCATATACAAAACATGTCTCTGAAGTGATTGGCATCCCATAAGGTGTGTGTGGGGGGGGGGGCTGATTGGCTAATGGTGACACAAGCCAAAAAATCGTTATGACATCATAAAGTGGCCAAAATCTGATCGGCTTATTTTCAGACAGGTTTTTATAGAAATGGATCAGGACAAAAAGTGAGAGAATATTGTTTCCTGAAACTTTCAGAATCTCTTTTCCACATGTTGATGTAGAAGAGGCATGAAGAAATGGATTTTGCATAATAGGTGACCTTTAAGTGCAATAAACTACATATTTCTATTGTTTTCTGTTGTGTTTGTTCTCAGTACCTTCACCAGGACGTTGAGGGTGCCGGGGCTGAAGCCTCCGGGGCTGGTGAGCAGATAGTTGAAGTCGATGCAGTGAGTGTCGTTCTCCTTCATCACAGGTAGCTGAAACCTGGCCTTCGTCCCCTCGTCGTGCTGCGAGACGTCCACGTACATGTAGGTACCTAAACACAGGGACAAAGAGAGGGTCAACGAAAAAATATCACATTTAACTTAAGGTGGATCTAGTTCACAGGTTTTTTTTAATTAAACCTAAATATTTAAATACTTTTAACTACTGTTATCTGGCTGGTATTCTGTTAATTTCCCCTCTGCTGGGAGGATCAAATACCTCTGAGACCTCTTAATCAGCTTCAATCGCCACATACCTGCTGTGCCTGAACAGACTAGCAGTGGTGAGGGGGTACTTTAGTTTCTACGACTGGACTTGTCAAAAACGATGTTGTAGTCGCACTGCCTGCCTTACATGTACCTACACGAGTAAACCAACTCTCTGCTACTGTGAAGTTTGAAGATAATCCTTGTTGAAGACATAACACTTCAAACCGACAGCTAAAACAGTTCTGTGAATTGGGCTGTTACAGTGACTGAATACAAGTGTAAAAAAATAAGTGCTCTTCAACGCCAGGTAAAGTAATTGTATTTCAATTAAATGTAAAGCAACTTTTAACATTGCATAATTTGGTTTAGCTAAATAAGTGTTTTTATTTTATTTTGCTTATTGGTTTTGTTGTCTTTTGTGATATCTGTAGTGTGCATGTGAAAAGTATAATCTTGAATCTTAATCACCCCTAACCCTTTTTTGTATCCATCTGATATTTATTATTATTATCTATCGGAGACATTCTTCTGTGTTTGAGTCCCATCCATTAAGCACTGAAATCCAATTTAAGAATGTAATCCATTAACAGCTCATTTCTGTCATTTAGGACACAAAGAGCAGGAAGCCAAGGTAAACTTCTCTATTCCGTGCTCATTCCTGTTTGACATGTACACTTTGAAGCAGTATCCTATCATGAGAACAAAAGCTCCAAAGAGCCTTTAGTCTTTCCTATGTGTTTACTCTCTTCTCTCATTTCTTTTGGGCTTATGGTTTATAAATCAGTCATCAGCCGATCCAAACATGTAAATACCTTCTTACTGTGTTTTTGTCATTTGTTCCCCTTTGTGATGATGTGTTTCTAAGCAAGCCAGATACACATTGGAAATGGGCAAGAGAAGAAAGGAAAGGAGTATACTTTTTTTCTTTTGACTTTCTTTATTTGATGTTCTTTTTCCCTTAGCGTCTCCTTTTCATTTTGGTAAATCAACTCTGCAGCTTTCAGGTAATACAATGTTCAAATGTGTGGCGTGAAGGCAGGTTTACACGATCAAAATGAGTGAAAGTTGATCAAAATCATGTATTCAAGTATCCAGTTGCAGTTTGCATTATGCCACGTTGATACCAGTAGCTGATGTTTGATTCCTTAACCACACTTGTAAAAAATGTTCCACAGGCTGCAACATATCATTACCTGCAACAACCAAGCGGCGTTGCATGATTCATTGCATTTTTTTAAACATATCCTCTGGGCTATCATTTTCAGTCTTATTTTGTTCGCAAAAGATTCCTCCTTTCTTGGCTGCCTTCAAATATAAACCCATTAGTTTTCTTCTTCCTACGGATTCTGGAGAATGTTTTCAGTCAACACTGGTTAGCTAAGTTTGCATACATGCACAACAGGTAAATATTATCCTTGCTGTCACTATTGAATAGATACATTGGACCTACAGTAATGGATGATAGGGAACGTGGCTCGATGTTATTTATAATCTGGGTGAGCTGACGTCCAGATGTTCCAGTAATCAGCTCAGACCTCAACCAGATGTTGTTCCAGTGAAATATGATGAAATGTGAGCCTATCCTGCCTGATGTCTAATCTCACAATCTCACATTAGCTCATCGAAAAAAACATGATATCTATTTAATTGATATCAAATAAATGAATTGAATAGAACAAGCACTGAATCAAAGCGTTGATTATTGGTTTGTCGATCTTTCATTATTAATTATTGAGATGGTTTCTCAAGTTAAAATGCGAAACATATGCTAGTCTTAGCCACTCCGGTGTGAGGATTAGCTGCGTTTCTCTGTTTTACGTGAACATAAGTTGAATAACTACAATATATTTTGGTCTTTCACGATTGGTTCAGACTGAAAATGCAAAAACATATGCAAAATGCTAAACATATGCTAGTTTTAGCATCTCCAATGTGAGGATTAGCTATTTCCTCTCTTTTGCAATCATATAAATTGAATAGCTTTAATATGTTTCGGGTCCTTAAAGGTGGGGTAGGTAAGTTTGAGAAACCGGCTCGAGATGCACTTTTTGTTATATTCCATGGAATGCTCTTAACATCCCGATAGCAATGAATATCTGAAGTTATTTGACAAAAAATCCATAAAAAATATCATCTGTGGAAGCCGTGGCTCTGTAAAAAGCACGACCAATCATCTGAGCCGGCCCGGCTAAAATAACTGGATGGCCTACCTGCCTGTCAGCCTTCCATCTGTGCACAAACTTATCTCGTGCCCTCATTGGTCATGTGCGCGTTCGTGTGTGTTGGAGGAGGGGCTCTGTAAGGAAGTGGCAGATTTCTTCCGGTTGTGTATTTTCAAATTCTAGCGCACTCGAGCTGCTTTCTCCAAAATTACCTACCCCACCTTTAATTCTTTACTTTCCATTTCAAAAAGGAGGATTTTTTTCGACAATAAAAAAAAAGAACAAGGTTAAGTCAGACAACAGACATTTTAAGCTTCATTCAAAAACCTCAATAGAAGCTTTGAGTGTGATAAAATAAAATGTGGCCCTATAAGAAAATAGAGAAGTGATACACTACCATAACAGTTCTCAATAGAATAAAATACAATACAACATAACGTCTGGGCTCCAGTTGAACAAACAGCCCGCCAACCAACTGGTTAAATCTATTTCCATATTATACAATAAACAATGTGCTGTATACAATGAGCTGAAGAACAATAGTTATTATCACTTATTGTTTAGCTAATCTGCTGAAAACACTTTTCTCTGCAGACTACAGCACAACATAAGAGGCTTTCAACTAGTGCACACACACACACACACACACATGTTGTCAAAACCAAACACTGTATCCTAGTTATTGGATTGGCTCTGCTTCCCTCTCTTGATCTCTTTTTCCCACTCACGCCTACACACACACACGCATACAAAAACACACACTTCTATTTCAGTCGTGACAAAATCCTACTTCCTGGTTGTCCCCAAAAAGACACAAAATCTGAAAACGGGGCTACAGCCATCACAACAGAAACGACGCCAGGCCAGCACCATCTTCTGTCTCCTTCTCTGTAATCTATATCAATCCAAAATGAAAACACGATGGGTGTCACTCCTATTTCTCAATATGTTGGCAGTGATACTAAGATGGTGACAAGTGCCTTTAAGATGGCTGCCAAGATGGTGTGCTAGCTAAAAATATTCCTATCATTCAGAGACCCAGATATGTCAAAACACACACAAATATAACCTTTAGTACCTCTTCTTAGCAAAACACTGCCAGCTGACAAATTACAAAAACAAATGGATAAAGGATTGGTAAAAAAATAGCTGAATAATAGTTGGTAAATAGCCAATGTCTAAACTGGTAAAGCAGCCGTTCACCTGCATGGTTCTAGAAATCTGATAAAAATGGCTTTTGAAAAACTATGATTAGTAAAAGATCGACAGTACATGCAAATGACACATCGTACATGTTAAGAAAGCAGACCGTATGACGCCAAGAACATCTGACACCTGAAGTCTGCCAGCTTGTAAAATGGCTGATGTCTTTGAACTAAAATGGCCGCTAATAGAATAACAGCACAATGTAACGACGGGGCTAAAAATACCCCTGAGACAGCCTTAAGACCTAGATATGTCACATAACAACAACAGCAGCGGCAGAAGCAGAGAAATCGTACATCGAGTATTTTTCTGCAAAACAGAAACAGCCCTCAGTTGGAATAACAGCTAATAGGAACAAAGATGATATGCTACCAACCATACTGAGTGGGATGTAGAAAATCTGACTCTCTTGGTGTAGCATACCCCAGTGAAATACTTCTAAACAACGATGTCCACAATAAAGCAACAACACTAAGGTAATTGAAGAAAAGATCAAATCAAATCAAAGGGTGTTTAGGAATTTCCATTGTTGCTCCCAAACCTTAGAGTCTCTTCTCTCCTCACAATTCAATCTTTCCGT